AATCGTAGCGAATTTAATAAAGAAAAATATCGTAGCGAATTTAACAAATTTAATAAAGAAAAACATCGTAACAAAATTTAACAAATTTAATAAAGAAAAATATCGTAACAAAATTTAACAAATTTAATAAAGAAAAATATCGTAACAAAATTTAACAATTTTAATAAAGAAAAATATCGTAACAAAATTTAACAAATTTAATAAAGAAAAAAAATTCATAACAAATTTAGCAAATTTTTTTTTAAAAAAATACTCAGCGAATTTAGCAAATTTTAATAAAGAAAAAAAATTTCGTAAAATTTAGTAAAAACAATATTGATTTTACGTAGTAAAACATTTTTCACAGATCACTAATCTTTAACAAGATAACTTTAAATTTTCAACAAGACAATTTTAATGAACTATAATGTTTTCGTTATGATAAATTTATTTTGAATATTTTTGCATTTAATACTTTGTAAAAGAATGACTATTTATCGCTATAATTATGCGAGTATTCTTAATTATTCATCCATCATCACATAATTTACATAATTTAATAATAACTTAATGACATAGAATTATTTTTATCTAAAAATACAATATTGATATACAGTATAATATATATAAATAAATATATAATGATATGCTTTGATTTAAAAATTGATGATAATATTTTTTCTATAATTTTAACCATAAAAAATGTCTATGAATGAATTCAATTCACTTATAAATAATGTTATAATATGCTATATATTTACATAAATTACATAACATGTATATTTCTTCCAGAGAAATATTCTATTCTTAATCATCTAAATCTTCCTTACTATAGTCATCTAAATCTTCCTTACTATAGTCATCTAAATCTTCCTTATTATAATCATCTTTAGTGGCTACTGTACTTAAACAGCAATTATTAATAATATCTTCGTAATCAAACTTATCGCACAGTGTCATTCTCATTCTATACATTGTATCAACCGATGAAGGATGAAGTTCATCACTACACTGTTCTAACCATTGTAGATGCCAACTAAGTCCTGGGAATGTAGATTCCAAATATTTTCCTATCATATCACCAAATCTATTCATTATTAAATACGCTTTTGTTCCAAAACCTTGTTCGTTAAGTATTGGAGTTATTAAAGGTATTGGAGATTTTCCTATAATTTTTGGTAGAACTGTCACAAGGTGTGGTATTCGATCTGATGGGTGGAATGATATCTCTAGGGTTACATTGAAACCATGAGCTGACATTAAGAAACGTTTTTGAAAATATAATGCTAATTTGTTGAGTGATGCTTTAAGAGCATCTACGAGATTATCAAGTTCGGCAGCAAGGGTTCTGCTGCGGAGAGATAATTTAGATTTTTTTGAATGAGGGATCATAAAATATTCTAATTCTTCATCTAATTGTTTTTGTGTTATCGGTATCGCACATTTTACTAATAAAAAATTAATAATATTACATTAATATGTAAACATAATAATATTTAAATAAATGTAATAAAAATATATGATAATAAATAAATAAATACCTTTATCAACAGAAGGAATTTTACCAGTTCTATAAAATTGTAAAATACAATAAAATAATCTTCCATTCCTATCAATATAGTATACATTTCCATTTTCATTTTTTGAATGTGGTGCCGCATGATTCTCTTCACTAAACATCATTCCCAACCTTGTTTGTGGGTATGCAGTAAACGTAGATCGATAGGCTTCATACTATTCAAATTAATAATTATGTAAAAATGCATTAGTTTTTTTTTTAAAAAAAAACGCACTGATAGTGAATTAAGGTTATAAGTGACGTAATACAGTACCTTAATCCCACCAACAATTAGTATAACCCTCTCGCGTGAACCTTTTCTATTAGTCGCCATTTCTTATCGTTTAATGCTTAGTATTTGAATGCGTCGCTTAACTTTAATTTTTTATATCGTAAAGATTTTCTAAAAAAAAAAATTTTTTTTTTTTAAAAAAAATTTAAGGTTTTTTTTAAAAAGAAAAATTAAAATTTTTAAA